AACAATGTTAAAACTTAAAACTCAAGTCACTTTTCTACTTTACAATGTCTCTTGTGATAACTGATTACATGATTGTTATAAAACGTGGTTTTCTGAAAACATAAGCAARCCTAACTTATTTAGTATTTACTTATTTAAATCATATTATATAGAATTCTTCTATTATCTATGGTTTAAATGTTTACCGCTATCAATTTTCCTCGTGACAATGGTATTATGATTATGTAACCACTAACCAGTATAACAAAACCAGTAGGCAGTTGTAAWCATACCGCATAGTTTTATTTATAAATAATCGTTTATCTATAATCGTGGTCACGGTCATCTTCTAAGACCGTGATCGTGGTAATAATGCCATATTGTATACAAAAAATATTCTCGATTAAGTTGTGATATCAACAAAAATATTCAATAATAAAATTAAAAATATATCATCAATATTGCATATTTTATCAGTATACGCTCTGATCGACAAATACGTTTTGGGTATACGCCGTATACCCCCGTATACCCTCCAATACACCACTGGCACTCCTTCATCATCCAATAATTCTAAGAGTCCAATTTCTAAAGCTGCCGTATCTTTTGAAATCGATTTTAATATTGGACATCCATTTTCAATGGTGTCGGGTTACGTGTTCGAAAATGATATGTTCGAATAAAATGTGTTCGAATGAAAAGTGTTCGAAAAAGCATATGTTCGGATGAATTTTTGTTCGAAAACTTTGTATTTATTATTTTGAAATTATAGATATTAAGATATCTATTATCTATAGTATATTCCRACTATTATACCGTTAACCAGGGAAAGACGGTTATTTAAGACAATTTAACAATTAACATTATGGCGCGTTTCCCTCGTCGATATCGTCTGGCGTACGATACGCGTTTATTGTATACAGGTTGATATCGAAACATCCAGGTGCTTATAAATTCATAACACACCTTCAAAAAATGCAGAACGAGAACGAAAGCTTAATTGAACAATTTATACAAGGCAGAATTGCAAAAAAAAATAAAGGTATCCCGACAACAACACGAAGAAAGAATTAAAAATTTAGTTTTAAGATTTAAAAATAGTTATCAAAATAACATTGAGTTTTTAAGAGGCATTGCGTACAATTTAAACTTTTAACTTGAATATACTCGTATATATATTTATTTATTTTATTTGACGATATACATAGACCTATACATTTAATAATTTTTTTCACTATATAAATAATAAATAAATAAATAATATTTTAATATAATATGCTTGTTCTTAAGACTGAGTTTAACTATTCGAACAAAAATTCTTCCGAACATATGCTTTTTCGAACACATAACCCCTTATCATTTTCAATAACATTAATTACAAAGGGATTTTCTAAAAATGCAATCAAAAGTTTAAGTAATTTCAAGTCTTTACTCTTTAAATCGATCTTCAAAGTGAGTTGATAAACACTAATTTTTGTACATAATCTTCACAATTCAATTTTGTTGAGATTCCAACCAAATAATCCTCAATTTTTGAAGTACGGAAAATGGTTTGAATTATTTATTCTTAAGTCTCTTTGAAAAAGTTTAAGCTTATTTTGGAAAAAAAAAATGTCTTGTACTAGGTTATTTATGAATTTATTTTTACCTTGAAGAGACATATTTAATGTGGCTAAGGGCCGTTCTTACAATGTCCGGTTAAGTGTCGGTTAAGACYAACCGRTAGAATTCTAYCGGTTAACTCATGATAAATTCTTCCGGTTAGTGTTATCAGGCACTAACCGAGCATTGTAAGAATGGCCCTAAGTGATGCACAACGTCAGTACAAAATGACATATCTCTTAACCATTGTGATTCTGAAAGTTGTGGAAAGTTTTTATCTTTTTCTTTTAAAAATGTTTTAATAGGTTCTAATATTTTATTTATTTAATATTATTTTATTCAAACGTTATTTACCGATAACCATCGAACTAAACAATACCACGGAACATAATTTGGAATMTCATCCTCTAAACTTTCAACAATGTTTTTAAATTTTCGATGTATCTTTGAACCTGAACGTATGTAATTTACAATTTTAAGAACAGCACTCATCACATGTTCATATTTAAAATATTTAGCCTTTAGGTGTTCTCTATGAATAATGCAGTGAATTGAAATGAAGTCTGGAAAATCAGTATCACTTTTTAAAATACCTATCAATCCATTTTTACAACCTGTCATACTGAGTGCACCGTCAGTTGAGATGCTAACAATTTTCGCAATAGGTACTAATCTGCTTTACGAGTACTACGTCAAGAGCATCTTTAATATCACAACCTCTAGTAGTTTCTTTAAGAGCTATAAGATTTAATAATTATTCTTTCACTTCCATATTCAT